CCCATACCCCCCCCCCCCTCAAGTTTCATCCCTGCGTACATCTAACTTTTGTATGCCTTGATTAAGCTGTCCCTCCCCCTGGGTCCATAAAGTCTGAGTGCATATTTTTGGAAATACAACATTTGAATTTTTCTTATATTTTACTAGAAATTATGCACAATAACACAGTAAATTTTTAGTAAAATGTTCAAGGAAAAGGATCTTCCAACAGCAGCAGATGACACAGTAAATCTTTAGTAAAATGTTCAAGGAAAAGGATCTTCCAATAGCAGCAGATGACACAGCAAATCTTTAGTAAAATGTTCAAGGAAAAGAAACTTCCAACAGCAGCAGATGACACAGTAAATCTTCAGTAAAATGTTCAAGGAAAAGATCTTCCAACAGCGGCAGATAACACAATAAATCTTTACTCTGTCTAACGCTAGATGATTTTACTCATCAAGTGGAGTCTTGCAACTTAATGGGTTAATGAATCAGTTGGTTATTACAACCGATTTCAACTTGATTCATATTTAATTAACATTCACTTTAACCCATTTACTGGCAGCACTATACCACTGACGAGTAATTAATCGTCTGGCGTTAGACAGAGTAAATACTATAAGTAGGTACATTTGGGCACATTCACATTGTCAGTTAATGAGTTAATATTAACAACGTTAAAAACAGACTAGGGTGTCAAAGGCTAGGTGGATGCCTCTTTGCCTGCAACAAACCATAAAGTGGGACTGCCACATGATCAACGTTAGATTTCAGCAATGAAGAGAATCAATATTTTAATAAAATAATTGTTATTAATAAAATAATTGTTAAAATAATCAATATTTTAATAAAATAATTGTTGTCAATTAATAAAATAATTGTTAGAAATTGTTGGGTTAATAATTATTGGGTTAATAATTATTGAAATATGTTGTGCTATAGCAGACTATGAAGTGATTATCCATATATAGTATATAAAATGGACATTAGATGACTCAACCTGGCCTAGTTAGCCAGGCTTGTCTTCAGTGTGTTGGTTAGCCAAGATCCTGACTCATATGATAACAATTTCTATTCTGGCAAGGCAGGATAGCCTGCATGGCTCATGTAAACAGGGCCTAAGATGATACATTTTAACATCATATAGTAGGCAGGTGAATATCATACTGGCAGATAATTGAATGGAAGCTAGCCTTTTTCCATTGTTGTGTATTTCTACCATTTATTTGTAGTATTAGCACTTGTTTCTGACTTTCTGTTTATCGGGTTTTATTGATGTATCTTGAAAAGCCAGTCATGTATATATTAATATGAAATTGTATGAAATGTATATAATGAATGATTAGGGACCACTGGTCATTAATGGGAGGGGGCGTAACGGAGGAAGAAGGGCCCTTAGGCATATTTGGTGTGGGGGCCCTGTTGACTGTTATTGTTTGACTGAGATATTATATTTAAATTGAATATTTATCAGTAGAATATGGAAAATTCTGTGTCTATACCGGTGTCCCAGGATTTTCGCCCCCCCCCCTACATTTTCGCCCCCCGGGGGGCGAAATTCGCCCCCCTTTAGGAAATTCGCCCCCCTTTAGAAACTTCATCTTTTCTTTAGGATTTTCGTCCTCCGTTCAAAATTTCGCCCTTCCTAACAGTTGCATGGGATATTTATTACATAGCTTTAATAATTTGAAATCAGTATCAATTAAAAATTGTTAAGACAGAGCTTGAAATAACAACCGATCACCGATCAATGATCGGCAAGGAATTGCTTATGATCGGCGGAAAAGCAGAGTTTCGGTTTCCAAAAAAAGCAGGGAAAGTCACGACTGCCGATCACCATGATCGGGAACTTTGGGAACGTTATTTCAAGCCCTGCATGTAAGAATACAAATTTACAATTACATGTATCGAAAGGGCTTTACACAGTTACAGTAGATCAATACTCAATAGGACTTATGACGCTTCACAGCACACCATGCATATTTTGCAATTTGCATTTTCAGTGTTAATCCTTAAACTCATTGTTAAAAAGTAATCACCGTGGTGGTTATTGTAATTATTGGTATTGTTTTGCATCCACATTTTGTCGTTATCGGAAAATGTATGGCTTACAAGTTGTCACTATTTTTTACTTGCATTATTTCAATATAGTTTGTAAATTTCAGAAGCGAAGGGTAGAACTTGCCAATAGGCAATACTCCAATAATATACGTTTCAAAAAAGACAAAAAAGCTTTTAGTTTTGCAGAGTTACATTCTCGAATGTTTAATAAGGCACTAATAAAATCAAAGTATCATGAAACATGAAATTATTTGAATAAACCACACCACATATATATATATATATATAATGCAATTTTCTTTGCGGAAGTTAAAAATCAAGATTACATCACTGACATGGAAAGTTGACGATTCAATGGACAATAGTCAATACGCTTCCCAACAAATTCCATAGATTTTTTATTAATCCTATAGTTTATTGTTAGCAAGTGATTAATGTGGCAGCTATTGTTAACATTGGTATTGATAAAATTTGCAAGCGATTGTTCTTATAATATGTTATGTGAATGTAACTGCCAGAAGAATACGACATGATTTTATGAGATCTCTGTGGGCAATGGTTCCACTTTAGATGTGTAGAATACGACACTAGTCTAAGTACCTCAAATGAATGGTTATGCAGACTGTGCACACCACCAGCTGCTAAGAAGCCTAAAATGTGCATGTGATTTGTCTCCTTGTAATAAATAAATAAATCACACAATAAATCTTTTCAACTTGCAATCGTTTTGTTTTTAGATAAAAAATTCAAAATTTATATGGGGGGGGGGCGAAATTCCTAAAGGGGGGCGATATTCCTAGGAGATTCGCCCCCCTGGGGGGCGATATGCCTAGGAGATTCGCCCCGGGGGGGGCGAATATCCTAGGAATATCGCCCCCCTTTTGAGAGGGGGGGCGAATCTCCTGGGGGGGCGAATCTCCTGTGACACCGGTCCAATAATTCTGTGTCTATACCGGTTGTCGATGGAGGGTTTATTATTTAGCATTATTAATTTTGTATTTTTCCATCGATTCGTAATTACCTGCATTTTTTACGTTTTCAGTCTAATTTTCTGGGGATAGGCTGTGGCTGATGGGTGCCCCTAACTGTCGGGGGCCCTTAGTTTTTGAACTAACCCTACCTAGTGAGTGTTATGCCACTGAGGGGGGTGGTGGGTGAGAAGAGGGGGGGAGGCAGCTTCAACTATTTTTGCCTGAATTGGGGGTGTCCTCAAAATATGTGACAAGGGGCGACCCCAAATTTTTAATACTTTCCTACTCATTTTCAATCTCTTGCCTTTATCATATCCCACAAAATATCCCACCTTTTTTAGTTCCTATAATCGTAGTTTCCATAGTTTATTACGTAATACAGTTCACGATAGGAGTCAGAGTAAATAACAACCATTTTGAATAGTGGTCCTCTTATTATTTAGGCTACACAATATCTTACACCATGCAGTACTTGTCCCATTAATACTATTTTACACCAACTAAGTAACAATTAAATGTTGGAGGGGGGTCCGATTTTCTAAATGAAGGTGGGGGCATCTTGAAAATAAAGGTCTTTCGATTGGGGCGGCTCTAAAAAAATGTTCAGTATTTGGTATCTATCACCCACTGCCCCTCCCCCCTCCCATTATAATGAATTGTCCCTTATGAAAGGTTTTTATCCAGTGAGTTTTACTATATAATTCTAAAGCACATGCCTTTATAAAGACATACTATATTATTATATGAGTGTAGTACTGAAGTAAATCGATATTAAGGTTTTATGTACAGGGTATGCATAATTTGGATCTTTCATAAATATTGCACACACGGTATTCGTATGAATATTTATAAGACAATTTACATATTGAAATTAGTTCACGTA